AAAAATCTCATCCGCTGCTGCCGTTGCTCGCATACAGTATGACAATCCAAATGCTGCATATGCAAGAAACATGAAGCCCTCTTTTTAAGCTTCACTCACTATGACCTAATTTCCTGTCTTGTGCTAAAATATATGCCCTCAGGTGGTCTGACCCCACTCATATCTCTTCACTGAGTCAATACAGGGCTACAGTCACACCAGTGCACCCATCACATTTCATCTCAGTATAAGAGAGTTGGCGTAGGAGGCTGGCATGAAAACACAGATGTTTTTTTCACAGCCTCGGCTACAGGAAAGAATGAATATCTTCCCTCCTTCATTTCTCTGACTGTGCTAAGGCTGTGTATTGATTAAGACTGCAATGCGACGCTTCACCTAATCTAATGCCATAATGGGGACCTGGAGGTGGCAATCATACCCTGAATGCCAAACAAATCAAGCCGATTTACACACATGCACATCCGCATTCATACTTCATTCATGGTTCATTCTACAAACTGATTACTTTGTTTTTAAAGCAACATGTATTTACAGGTTTTTTATTTTTTTTAGACAAATCAAATTGACCTCTGTCTGAAATGGCACTTTTCAGCTAATTTATTTTGTGAAAAAGCAGTTCTTTTATTTCATTATTCATTCATATCATTCAAGTATAAAGCAATTCTTCAGAGTAAATTATTAGTGAAATCATTAAATCTTAAATTGAAAAACACATTTGCACACATGCACATCTGCATTCATTCATCATTGATTCTACAACTGATCACTTTGCTTTTAAAACAACATGTACTGTATATGCAGGTTTTTCTTTTTTCTTGAGACAATACGTAAATGTGTTTCCTAAATAAAATTGTACTTTCAGCTAATTTATTCTGAGAGAAAGCAGTTATTTTATTGCATTATTTATTTATTCAGATCATTCATGTATGAAGCAATTCCTTTAGGGCACCTTATCAGTAAAATCATTATTTTTTTAAACTGGAAAAAATACACATTCACACATTCATGGTTCATTCCTGATCCTTTTGTTATTAAAATAGCATGTATCTACAGGTTTTAATTTTTCTTAAGTCAAATCAAATTTGTTTTGAACTGTAATCGCACTTTTCAGCCAATTTATTCTGTAAGAAAGTATTTATTTTATTGTATTATTTATTTATTCATACAGATCATTCATGTATGAAGCTATCGCTTCAAGGCACCTTATTGGTAAAAATTATTTCTTGAGTTGAGAAATGCACATTTACACACATACATCTGCATTCAGGGTTTATTCTACAAACTGGTCACTTTGTTTTTAAAGCAACATGTATTTACAGGTTTTTTTCTTTAGACAATTAATTTACTCATATGCATTTCTTGGTGAATTGTGCTTTGAGCTTATGTAGTCTTATTTATTTTGTTTGCATTATTTATTTATTCAAATCATTCATGTGTAAAGCAACTGCTTTAGGGTACCTTACTAGTAAAGCCATTAAGTCTTTAATTCAAATGAAACAAACAAAATCTAATAAAATGAAAAATATATAAACATTAAAACTAACTAAATTAGATTTAAACTATGCAATTGCAAAAAAGGACAAGACACTACAAAAGTGGGTAGCTTTTGAATGATTAAATCTCAGTGCTGGTAAACAAAGAGAGCAAACAAGTAAATCCAAACAGCATCCCACATTTCACAATCCAATAAAATGTCTTCACTTAAAGCAATTTGTTATTTTTCTATAAAAACCTCTGTCTGTTCTACCGTGATCTCAGGTGCGTAGCGGTCACATTGTTTCAAGTCTTACATCGGCATTACATGCTAAATGGATGAGACGGGAATTACCTCTGCCCCGACGCGGTCTGCAACTGGTGACCAATAAAATCATTATCTGAACCGGACTGTGATGTCTCCTTTATTCTTCCCCTTCATGAAATATGCATGAAAATATTTTTCACTGTGGATGAGCTGCTAAAATATACATTCAGTCATTGTGACTGAATTATTCTTAACTTCCCATTTACCTGACTGTGATAAAGTGTTTCATCGCTGAGCTCAATTGCTGTTTGGACAATTGTTTAAGTGTAGGGGATACAGAATCCATCTTAACATCTACATTTTTATTTTGAGATGACTTCATGTGATATTAAGCAGTGCAGAAGGCCATACTATGTAATTTGTGTGGCGGTTTTACGTTTCTTGCACCAAACAGTCACAATTTAGAGTTATGTGACCACATTAGCAAAGATTTGGCACAATTATGGGCAAAAAAAAGTCCATTGTCTGTTTTCAGTAGTGTAGCGATGTATAAACCACAGTTCACACAGAAGTCACTTCAAACTAAGTAGCTTTCTGCTCAATTGACCAACAAATGACCATGACTCTGTAACTGTGTAGATTCTTATTTAAATCACTTTATTTTGACTGCGAAAATTCATCAAACAGCAGTAAATGTGACCACATCTTCAGAAATAAACTAGTTGTTTGTGGTACTACTGTACCTTTAAGACTATGCAAATGACCTTTGTCGTGATTGGCTAAACTCTTCGCTTGTAAAACAAATCATAAATTCAACTTATAAACAGCAGATCAAAACAACATTTAAGTAACCAAAAAGTCACCCAGAATGCACCAATTAGAAGCTAGCAAAAAGAAGTCACGCTTACTACAGGATGTTAGCATTGCAACATAAGGAAATCGTTAGCAAAAGCATTATCACTTCATTATAAACATTTATCGACACTTCACAAATAGAGTAAAAACCATTAGCGTTTTCTTTAAAATATGTTTAAGACTGTTAGCTAGCTATGCTAGCAGCAGCAAAAAAATAATTGGGTTGCACAAAATGAACCTCATCTCACTACTTCCTGACAGAATTTCTTTAAAAAGTCAATGTGTAATCTACATGATGCATCTACTTCACGTTCTCTTACTAAGCTAATTGCTAACCTTGAGCTACATTAAATTCAAGGCAGAAACAAGTTTAAAATACGTTTAAGACTGTTAGCTAGCTATGCTAGCAGCAGCAAAAAATAATTGGGTTGCACAAAATGAACCTCATCTCACTACTTCCTGACAGAATTTCTTTAAAAAGTTCATGTGTAATCTACATGATGCATCTACTTCACGTTCTCTTACTAAGCTAATTGCTAACCTTGAGCTACATTAAATTCAAGGCAGAAACAAACTTGATGACTTCTAATCACATCCTGTTTTAAGACTTCCAGACGCATATCACTTTCAAATGTCCAGTCTCTGCAGATCAATGAGAGGCAGGAGCAGAGGAAAGAGAAAAGACGCTACGACGAAATTTCAGAGTAATCCAATTACATATTTCTGTTGTCAGGGACGCTCTAAAATTTCATCAAACAGCAAAAGGAATCAAGCATCTACTGCCTCAGCTTAAATTGATCTGTGAACGCTGTGTACAGAGAAACTTTTTTTTTTAAAATCCACAATCGATATCTGATTTAAATGACTGATGCTCAGGCTAAGGAACAATGCAGTAGCCAGACAACAAGCGCAATAATATACATTACAAATTAGATACAACTTTTTTTGTATCTCACAAATTTTTTTTATTTCTTCAGATAAACACGACACCCATTATTTGATCCAATTACAAGCCAGCTATATTTAGTATCTGTAACAGATACTCAATTATTAATGAGACATGAAACATAAGATAACCCAGTGGCAGTATTTTTGAGACTCAAAAGGAGAAAATCAGCATAAACATAACAAGCAACTTAATCCGTTTAGGAGAATCCGGAAAAATATTTCATCTACAGATCCAGTGATTCAACACTATTGGAGATGCTTCTGAAAAGTCACATTTCTATTCACGTCCATATAATAATAATCAGCGGTTCCTGTTTAGTGCTCAAGAGACCCAGATGATTATTGATTAGCCCTCAAAACAGATTCAATTACAGGCTACTAAAAGTCAGCACAGCAGCCAAAAAGTGTGTGCAAGTGAATTCCTTCTGAGAACGCATTTGAATCACTCCATGAGATTCAAGAAGCTACCATTTCCTTATTTTTTATGTTTATAGCAGTGGGACATGGACAGCAGGGTGAAAACGATGATAAATGCAAATTATAAAATGTAACTAGCCATATAATCATGCATAGTTAAATTGAGCAAAGTATGCTTATAAACCATTAAAAAAATGTGAAGACTCTATGCCTACATCCTACGTCATTCGCTGGAACACCACTCTCTCGTGAACGCGCGTACGACAGTTACCGGAAGCTAGAGATTATGTTTTATAAAGTTTTAAATATCGATATTCTTCGTACACAAACGCATCACTTCGCTTCAGAAGGCCTTTATTAACCCCCCGGAGCCACGTGGCGCACTTTTTATGATGGATTGATGCACTACTCCCTGCTGTGTGTGTGCACTTGGATGGGTTAAATGCAGAGCACAAATTCAGAGTATGGGACACCACCTCACATCACTTTCACTTTATTTTGCTTCAAAATCTTGACCCCCATTCACTGCCATTATAAAGCTCGGAAGAGCCAGAATATTTTTTTTATATAACTCTGATTGTATATTCGTCTGAAAGAAGAAAGAAACTTTGTTATTTTGGTGCAAATTCATCCCTCACTTTAAGACTACACTATATCCAGCAGATGCCAACATGACCAAACCTATGCAAAGTTCAAGAAAATACACCCTAGACTACATTAATTATGGATTCCAACTGCTTCTGTGGCTCCTGAAGCAAAGCCACCGAACTAACATAGGCAGAAATTATCTTAAACAGGCGTAGGTTGCGATCCAATCAAACTTAGCTATTTTAGTACACATTTACTCTCACTTCTTTAAGACTACAACAAATCAAGCAGAGGCCAACAGGGCAGGTTGCATGACATACCCTCAACCATCATCAAAGCTATGCAAAGTTCTAGAAAATACACCCATTACAACATTAAATAAGAATTATGTCAGGTTCTGTGGGTCCTGAAGCAAAGTCACGACTTATAGTGTGGCATAGACTGGAATTACCTTAAACAGGCGTAGGATGTTGGCCACCATGATGGAGACGGAGCTTGCAGCCGCGCCTATCACGCCAATAATCTTGTCCGGCTTGGCAAAGATGGGCTGCTCGCCACTAGCACATCGCACATCAGTAGAATCACGCTCGATGAGCGCCTGCACAAAGGTAAGCGACTGTTCCAGGGCGTAGGTGTCGCGCGAGCAGGTGTCTAATATACGCGCCCCCAGGGTCACGTTGGGCAGCAGGTCTGGGTCTTTATTGATGAGGTCGAGGGCGAAGAGCATGGCCTCTAACCGATGAATACCCTTCTCCTTCTTCAGTTCCCCGCAAGGGGCGCCACGTTCACCCCTAGAATGCACCGGGAAAGCACGCTTTCCCCCAAGCATAAACAATGCTGATTAGCAGATTACATTCATGCGCGCACCTCATCAAAAATATCTTAATTTGTGTTCTGAAGATGAACGAAGGTCTAAGGGTTTGGAACGACACGAGGGTGAGTAATTAATGACAGAATTTTCATTTTGGGGTGAACTATCCCTTTAAGTGAATGTTAATGGATTTGATGTGTGTGTGTGTGTAGACACAGACAGACAGATAGATAGGAAGGATATAATATACAAAAGTTGACAAAGAATGTGTTTGTTATCTTTATTTAAACAAAAAATCCTACTGCAAGCAAGAATATACCAGGATTTTGCAAATAAAAAGGAGAGTGCATCATCGGAATGGACCTAGGTTTTGGCGTTTGGATAAAGCCCTATTGTACACATAAACAAAGAGTTTAATCAAAGCATTCTGCATGCACCCCAACTAAAAGAAATTGTACTTGCAATTTACTTGCTCAAAAGCTTCATTATAACTATTTATACTTGAAAGCAACGATGAAAGCCATCTACTAAAACTTGAAAATGATTTTCTCATTAGCTTAAGTTATTAGTAGACTACCAAACTAAACAAATACAGTAGTAGTCTATTTCATTTTAGTCACAGTTGCAACCTTTCGTTAAAGACAAACACAAAGTTTAAGCGGTTTAAAAAAAGAAATATCTGGGCTCTCAATTAAGACACATCCTGAGCAGCTTAACATGTAGGCTTCGACTTAAAGGGTAGAAGAAATATAAGTACATTTCTAACAAATTAGCAGCATTTCAATCCATAGTTGATTAGAGAGGTGAATACATGGCAGGAAAATATGAAGCAGAGTTACATTAACTTATCTACTTATGAGTATTTAACATTAGTTAGACATGCTGTATGTATACAGAGCAACCTCCTATGTCTGTCCATTGTCCATTTATAAAACATTCTTTGTGTATTTTTAAACTGTCGGAGAGAATACAAAAAATAGTGGTATAATCCGTTTACAAATTAATCAAAATTCATTTTGAGAGTTGTTTTTTGTTAACACCAGTAATCAGTCAAACTCATTCAAAATCAATTAAAGACCAATCACCTTTTAGAGGGTGCATACCATTTCTTTTACAACAGCGCCCTCCTGTGTAAAAAGCTGGAACAACAATTTTGGTGCACTTCGGGAGGTTTTTTTTCTCATTCAACCCCTTTATGAAAAGGTTATCCTCTTTTTTCTACCCACAAGTCTGTCCATATCCCTTCCTCTTCTTTCACATGGAGATAAACTCATCCATGGAGTCCAGTGCAAATGTGCTACGTATTCAGTCAGAGAAAAATTGTCTAAATGGACAGAAAGAAAGAGAAAGTCAGAGAGAATAAAACGCCATTCATCATTAAATATATACCATACTGTAGTCAATAACAGGAATGATTTAAAGTAAAAAGTATGTGTACTTTCTATAAGTTTGAAGATGTAAAAGGGATAGTTGGTTCTAACGTCATGTTCAAAACCTGTATGACTTCATTTCCTTCTACATTCTTCAAACAATTGTCCTTTATTGTGATTACAGGTTTGGAATAACAAGAGTGTGAGCAAATATAGCAATTTTTTACTTGTAGGTGAACTATCACTTTAAGGAAATGGGCATTTACAAAAATTCTCAAGCATCACTATTCTGTGGGCAAAACCACTGGAGGCTGCTAGAAGTGTAAATGGTCAGGCCAAAACATGTAAAAGTTCACCGCATCTACATATCTATTACAGAAAGCAGACGATGGGAAATCCCTCTCAGATACTGATTTTCTGTAGCCATGAATTTAAATTAGAGAGTAATTTCTAATACAGTGACTTTGTCTGAGCATGTGATGAGAAAAATAAGCACTAGCTTGGATAACAAAACGAATAATTGAAACCAAATGTGACCAATTTGGATACCTAGAAACCAAGTTTAAGAAATGAAACTAAATCTTTACATTTTTTGAAGAAAATGTCAGTATTGCTTGCCAATGCAAAACCTGCCGCAGCAATGCTAGGGTGAATTTGAGTGGTTGCTTACTGGCCAAACTTAGTCTTAATACTTTGGTTTAAAGCAGAGCTCCTCAAATGCAACTCTGGAGAGGGCACATGCACTGCAGGGTTTAGCGCCAACCCTATTCAATGACACCCGAGCAAGCTAATAAAGTTACTAGAAGATTACAGGTAGGGGAGTTTGATCAGGGTTTGAGCTAAACTCTGCATAGCAGTGGCCCTCCAGTGCCGGATTTGAAGAGGTTTTAAATCAAACCTCCAACCATAAATATGAGGAACCGTAATAGTGATGCTTGCCTAAGAAAGCACCTCTAATAAAGACAAACACTATGTCCTACAGTCTTGGAAACAAAATTTTGTGAAATGGCTGAATGTTTGATTCTGTAGAGCATCTCATCCATTATAGTCTGGAGGAATGCTGCAAGCATATTAAGGCATGAAAGCTCACATAAGTTTGAAATGTTGCATCCAATTATAAGGGATTGTACCTTCATAGACATAGTCCAGTCTTTCAAGATCACTATTTTTGGAACACTAAGTAGTGCTTTCTTAGGAGTACTTAAGATAGCTGGATAAAATATTTACAAAGTATTATACAGTGTTATTTATAGGCTGTGGTGCTCTGTAACTTGTTAGCAACAGCATTTTGAATTAGATTTTTACATTTTCGGGAGATAATGTGAGTGGTGCTTCACAGTACAAAACTCACCGACCATTACGCCAAGGCAGAGGTATCCCATCTTGCTCCTGGAGGGCCGCTATCCTGCAGAGTTTAGCTCCAGTTCTAATTAAACTTACCTGAACCAACTGATCAAGGTCTTCAGGATTACTAGAAACTTCCAAGCAAGAGTGTTGGGGCAGGATGAAGCTAAACTCTGCAAGACATTGGCCCTCCAGGAGTGGGATTGGACACCCCTGTTCTAAGGTGCACTGGGTGGTTGCCAGGTTGTTGCTTTGCCGTTGCTAGGGTGTTCTGGGTGCTTAATGTGGACTTGCTAAGTGGCTACGTACTTGTCCAAGTCAACCACAACCTCAAGTCTGTATGATACGCTGGTCCCTAGGTATGGCTCGGGTCCCTTTTTCAATACAAGTCTAAGGGAATTTTTCCCGCCTTTTTTATAAGCCTAATTGCTTTAAAAAGTAATAACACAGCACATAGCAACACACAATGTGGGGTACCATTAATGTCCATAACGCGAAGAGAGTTACGAGTTACGAGTTACAACCAAAAGTTTAATGCTTAGGGTTAGGGGATTAAGGCTCGCCTTAGCAAGCACGATAATTATCTTAAGATGCTTTTTGAATGACATAACAGAGGAGCAACCTACCAAATGAGGGCCTTTGATCGAGTGCTTCTTCCTTGTAATTTGTCCCCACTTGCGATGGCAGTCCTGTGTCTCCGCCTGTGTGTCTCAAGGTAGACCTTTTTGGCAAATGCCCGGCCACACATATCGCATGCGTGAAGGGAAAAGTTTTTCGTTACCCTAACCTCCGTGCAGGTCTCCTGGCTTCTGGTGATGGGTGGCCCTTTGATAACATTATGACTGCGAGTGACATGGGGGTTCTTGGATGCTTGAAGGTTCTTGTCTTGTCTATTTGGTGTAAGCGGAGATTCGAGTTTGCCTGTGTTAAGTGACGATAGAGCTGAATGCTTTCGAGTGTTTGGAGATGTTGGGGATTCTTGTTTCTTTGCTTTGGAAGATACAAGAGGATCGTGTTGACAGCTTTTAGGAGAAGCTGGAGGATCTAGCGTTTTATGCTTCCCGCTACCCTCTTCATTTGTTTTCTTGTTTGCACTGGTGAAGACTGCATCAGCTGGTTTCTTGACTGCCTGGTTCTCCAAGGCAGGCATAACCTTAGCCAGATAGCGCGATGACTTCTTATGCACCACTGTGATATGGCGGATGACGTCGCGCTTCCGGCGTGACTCGTATCTGCAAATGGGGCATCGGTAAAACTTGATGTAGATGCTGTCGTTCCCATCGGTATGCAGTTCGGCAATGTGCTTGCCCAGGTTCTGACTGGTACTGAACTGACGTTTACACAACCAGCAGTAGATCCTTTTAAAGTCAAAACTCACACCGTGGTTTCCATCATCTTCTGAAGCTTTCGAGATAGACTCTTTCTTTGGGTAAACCTTATCTCTTCTCTCGTGCTTCGATTTGGCCTTCTGAGAGCGGTTTTCTAGAATGGGCATCTTATGGACGATTCGCATGTGCCGCCTAAGCATTAGTTGAGAGCTGTACTTGCGTTTGCACAGCTTGCAGCGACAATTTGTCAGGTTGTACTGTGTCTTATCTTGCTTCAGAGGAGAGATTGGTGCTTTCGCTGGTGAAGGAGGACGAGCGTCAAGTAAAAGAGGCTGGCCTGGTCTTGTGGCAATGTCCGGTGTGATCAAATCCCGCTTCAAACCACGGTGGACCTCGTCAAAGTGGCGACGAACATTGGCCTTGGTGGCAAAGGCCTTTTTGCACACTGGGCAACTCTTCCCAGAAGAAGGTGGCGGTTTAACAGGATGCTTGCCCTTCACCATAGACAGCAGGCTGGTAGGCAATGTGCGCGTCTCTGTAAATTTGCGTAACTCCTCCATCCTCTGCCAGTGCATCTTCCGGCAGTGGCGTCGTACACTGCGTCTGGAGCTGAAGTCTTTTCCACAGAGGCAGCAAGAGATCCTCATCTCCTTTACCTCAGAGGCGGCACTCTCCTCTTCTTCTTCCTCTCCTTCTACCGGCTCAATCTTTATTTGCTCTTCGCAGCTCTGACCTTCTTTAGCAGGTGGTTCTTCAGGTTCCGTTTCCATCTCCTCTTCAAAATCTGACTGTTGGACCTTTTTGGGTGCCAAAATAGATTTGTGGCGATTTTTCTTCTCAGGTACCAGGATCATAGTCTGGGGTGTATGGGTGGGGTTTTCCGGCATGTCCTGAATTTCCACCGGTGCCACTTGTTGGAACACTGCATTGGGGTTGGTCTCAATGGCCTCCAGCTGAATGACATGTTTTTCTTGGT